AAACAGGTATTTTTTCTCCTTCACTGATATGCGTTGATGAGGCAGCACTGATGGGCACTGATAGGCAGCACTAAAGGGCACTGATAGGCAGTACTAATGAGGTGGCACGGATAGGCGGCTGATACAATAATGAGGTGTCACTGATAGGCGGCACTAATATGCAGCACTGATAGGCGGCACTGATAGGTGACACTGATGATGGGTACTGATAGATGGCACTGACTGGCATCAATGCTGGGCACTGACTGGCGGCACTGACTGGCACAACCGCTGGGCACTGACTGGTGGCACTGACTGGCAGCACTGCTGGGCTGCACTGGTGGGTGGCACTGGTGGGCAGCACTGGTGGGTGGGCACAGGTGGGTGGCACTGGTGGGCACAGGTGGGTGGGCACAGGTGGTTGGCACTGCTGGGCACAGGTAGGTGACACTTCTGGGCACAGGTGTGTGACACTGCAGAGTGGCACAGGTGGGTGCACTGCTGGGCACAGGTGGGCGGAGCTAGTGGGCGCACTGCTGGGCACAGGTGGGAGGAACTTGTGGGTGGCACTGCTGGGCACCGATCATCAGGGCACTGATCATCAGTGGCCCTGATGATCGGTGCCGATCCTCGCTCTGATAACTGCCGGTTTTCGGCAGTACTTTCCTCACGATCTGACAGTGTGAGGAAAGTGCAGCCGAGAACGGGCACTTGCATTTCCCTGTGATCAGCGTGTCTTTGGACACCGCTGATCACGTGGTAAAAGGCCAGTATGATCGGCCTTTTACCACATCTCGTGATCAGCTGTGTCCGTAGGACACAGCGATCACGGAGATCGCCGGGTGCGTGCCCCCTGGGGCGCGCAGGAGAGCGCGTTCTGGGGGGACGTCCACCCAGAACTGGCCGGCCGCAGTGAAACCGTCATTCGGCTATCTGCGGTCGGCAACTAGTTAAAGTGGATCAGGTGTTTACTGATAGAAGGAGCCTATCTCATGTGAAGCTGTCCTGGAAGATGACTTGGGAAAAGAGGATTTCTTTTCATTGCACACTCTCCATAAAAGTGATAGATGTAAAGACGACAAGAAATAGGAGTGATACAATCATCAACCTCCACAGATTTTCTACGCACCCCCCTGGCTGATGGCTACATCTTATCATTCAAAACAAATTATTTCATAATAGAGGAAAATAGAAAAATATCACAACATCCCTCCCAAATCAATGCTGTCCACAATAATGCTAATGAATTGGCTATGCTCCCTAATATTTGCATCTGGCTGCTAAATATTAAAGTGTAACATGCAACAAGTTTGTCACTATCAACACAATAGGACATAATGCTAAGCTCTATTAGTGTGTCAACAGCTCTTCAAATGTCACCAATAAAATCATGTGGTTATATATAGTTTATAGGGATGTGCATGAAAACAACCCAGGCAGGATCATCACTGCTGGTCTAGGCCAAATACGCTTGGTTTCCAAAGAGGGCTTTGGTATATGTTTAGTCCCTGGATCTCTGTGAGCTCTATGTTTCCTGTACCTCTGTCTGGACGTCCCCTGGGTGCACAATTTGGGATTGGTTTTAATCTACAAATTTAACCGATAAGTGTGTACTGTACTCTATATGCTCAGACTCCAGCCTCCAATGTAGATGCTTTTAAAACATGCTGGGATTCTCCTACTGATGCAAGCATCGCATTATATTTGCACTGACTGTATAGAATATGAAGGATGTAACTATAAAGGGGTGATTGTAATATACCAGATTGCCCGTGATTTTATGTGGTATTATGTCTGATTATCACGGTAACAATAAAATATCTGTTTTCATATAAATGTTGTTGTAGGTGGGGTGAAGCGGCGGCAATAAAACAGAAAGTCCAAGTGTGATATAAGAACTGTATTGGAGCAATGCAGACAGTCACAACAAACCCGGTGAGAAGACAACCCAACTGGGGACACTCACGGATCCCAACAGTGAGCAAAGAGCAGGTTTCAGCCGAATCAACAATGAGATAATGAGGAGCAGAGTGCAGCCTGGCTGTCTCATACCCAAGTGGGAAGATGTTTAGAGCAGCTGCAAGCCCTATGATTTCCTCCTCATTAGGAAACTTTCCCTGTCATTAGTTCTGTCCCTACAGGCGTGGTACCTGACCCTACTCTACCCACTTTCAAATGCGCATCAAAACCTGGGGGCAGGGACTTATAAAGCCTCTGCTGACCCAACATGGTCACCTGGAACCAGAACACTGCCTTTAGAAACCATATAGAGAAACTAGGTTTCTCCTGACTTCCTCTCCAGGCCATGGTACCGCTCAGGACGAATGCCACCCACAGTGGAGACAGCGGGATGCACCTGCCTACAGTGTTTTCATGCATGTGCCTATTAACTCCCATATACTAACAGGCAGGGGTGTACCTACAGGTGTCACAACTGCGACCTGGCCCCATGCTGCAGGGGGCCCAAGCAGCCCCCCTGTATGGCTGGATAGGAGGAGCAGCAGAATGCCTGCGGGAGGGGGAGGAGGAGAAGCGGCATTCAGCCCCTGCTCCTATCCATCCACTTTCTGCTGCCCCTCACCGTGCTCTTCGGCGGCCACCCTGTGCTCTCCAGCAGTTCCCCCCTGAGCTCTTTCCCTGTCTCTGCTCCTCCCCTGCAGCGCGCTGCTGGTCCTCTCCCCCCTTTCGCCGGCTGATGCGGGGGATGTGGTCAAGGTGGAAAGCAGGGAAGGGGCTGGTGAATGTGTAATTTATTGGCCCCTTCCTTTTCTGAACAGAGAGTCAGTGATTGGTATTGATCACTGACCCTATCCATTCATACCTGAAGTGTAGTAAACTGTGTTTACTATACTTCAGTTGAATGAACAGAAAGCTCTGTACAGAGCATCCATTCATTCAATGCAGCTTACTCCGTCTCGAAAATGAAACATCAGAGGTCTGTTTAGACCCCTGATATTTCACCAACCCCCCCCCCCCCCCAATGGGGCTGCAAAAAAAATTGTAAAAAATAATATTGTATAATGGCAAATAAATAAAAAAAAACAAAAAACTACTGACACCAGTGGCGGAACTACCAGGGTCACAAAGGTCAAAATTGCGCTCGACCCCGTCGTTTTGCCACTGGAGGGAAGGTTACTTGCACCGGGGCCCTGAAGGTTCTAGGTATGCCACTGCCCACAAATGTATTGGTGCAAGAAGTTCATATATCTGTGAAAATACAATATAAATTATATAACGCTCATGCATATCATATATTTCCCAAGTGAAAATCCCAACATGTAAGCCTCATTGGACAATAAATTCATTCAATTACAAAACATCAGACAGTGTCACATAAAATGTATAGATTCAGTTCTCTACACAGACACCTGTAGGTATTAAGGGAACCATACTGGAAGAATTCCCTTAATCAGGGATTATAGTGTATGTATCCACTGTGATACAAATGATGAGTGCTCAATCTTCTAGCTGTGTATTCCATTGAGATATACAGACTCAAGCAAGGTATTGTAAAAGAACATCCAATGAAGGCTACTGAACCATCAGTCATCAGTAATTGTATGCAGCTCATTTATGTTGCATGATCCAATTATAAGTGAATATTTTAGGTATAGCAGCTCATCTGGCATGGACTACAAAGTCCCAGCATACTTAATTACTTCCTGTTTATACACAATGTCTATACCTCACCCCAATTCCACCACATATATGGCACTGGATTATTTTAGTGATTAAACCACTGGCATTTCACTGCTTTTTCGCTTACTACTAATTGGCTGGGATAGCTATATGGACACTATAGGGCAGATTTACTAAAACTGGAGTGTGCAAAATCTGGTGCAGCTCTGCATAGAAACCAGTCGATTTTCGGGTTTTATTGTCAAAACTGAATTGAACAAGCTGAAGTTAGAAGCTGATTGGCTACCCATATGGAAGAAAAATATATTTGAAATATATTTTAAAAATATTCTTCCCAAATATATTGACATATATTTGAAATGCTACAATTTTGGCCATATTCAATTTATTTAAAAAAAAAAAAAAAAAAAAATAAATAAATAAATAAATAAATAAATATATATATATATATATATATATATATATATATATATATATATATATATACATACATACACACACACACACACATACTGCATGTTGAAATGTGTCTTTATTACAAAATATATGAAAAATAGTTTTAACAATACATTTTGAATATACTGTATGTCTTTAAAAATACAAATCTACATTTTTGGAATACATTTACACATATATGTAAAAATATATGTTAAAATGACTTTTTTATATGTTAAAAAAAAATCTGAAAGATATATTTAAAAAATATATATTTTTAAAAATATTTTTTATATATTTTGTAATAAAACGCATTTCAGCATGCAGTAAATTATTATTATACAGGATTTATATAGCCCCAACAGTTTGCTCAGCACTTTACAATATAATGGGAGACAATACAGCAACAATACAGTTCAATACAAGAGGGTTAGGAGGGCCCTGCTCCTTGGAGCTTACAATCTAAGAATATATATATATATATATATATATTGAAATATATTTTGAAATATATTGAATATGGCCAAAATTGTAGCATTTCAAATATATGTCAATATGTTTGGGAAGCATATTTTTAAAATATATTTTTCTTCCATGTGGGTACCATGCACATCTGCTCCAGATTCTTAGTGCTCCAGTTTTAGTAAATTCCCTCCAGTGACTACACACCTAGGGGTCTATTTATAAAACAATTGCAGTACCAACATCTGAGCATTTGCACAGCGGTCATAAAAAAACGAGTAATGCTTTTAATATGTTTATTTCCTTTGATTGTCAGCCTCATCTAGTGGCCATAAAATGTGATAATTTCCTGAACAGACATATTACGGGGATTTTTCGTGATGGCTGTGTGAATGCGCAGACATTCACACAGAGGTTTTTTTTAAATAAATTGACCATGTATTCTCTATGCTGCTGTTTTATTTCAATATGTGCCCTATACTTACCATATTCAGAAAAGAGATGAGATATTTCAGCACGGCGTAGTTATGATCCGGGAGTCTGTGTACAATTTCTTTACAGCTGTTTACACGCAGGATACTCTCCACACCTATAACAACAAATATTAGATACAGAGCAGCGAAAAGGGAAGATCAGCAGAGCAACAAAGTGAAGCATATTCACATTGGGACATATAAAATTTCTAATACTACTTAGGCTGCCTAATTTGTCTCCACCCAAAAATGAAATAAATCATTTGCCTTTGTAGTGTGGATTTTAGATGTATCTTGTGCATGTACTTTGTAGCTTCTAAGGGACAGAAAGAGGTGTAAATATAAAATACAACTTTCACCTTTTTTCATATTATAGTGCTGCTGAATCTTTGCAGCCATTTCCTGTCTACATGCTCTTTAGCACCTCCTGCAAGTCATTTCTCAGGTCAGGATTACTGTGGACCATGTCTGTGTAATGTACATCACCATTGTCCCTTGTAGTCTGTATTGGGAAAGCATGTGACAGGGTGACAACATAGGAGAACAACTGGAAGCAGAACATTGTCACCCCATAAAAGAAAGTGCCTGAACAGTGACCTTCATGATAGAATCACTAGGTATTTTAACTTTAAAAATGACTTTTTACATTACATGTATTTTATAAGAGATATTTTCCCAAGCAGCTTTCTAGGTTGGGACCAGACATTCTAAGGAATACCACGTTAATGCAAGAAGTCAGTACTATGATTTATCTAAACAAGTGCAATTTTAATTATAATTTAATCCACTTTTACAGTTTTCTTTATCTACATTTACTTGATGTCCAGCCTGCTGAAGGCGCTATAATTGCCTCCTCTCCAGTCTCTGCACTTTATGGGACTCCAGGCATTGAGGTCTGGTGACACCAAGTTGTGCTGGACTTTATTCTAGTAAGGAGGACGGAAGAGATGCTCTTAGTGCCTATTTATCTTTTTACGCTAGAGTGCTTTATGTCACGCATTAACGTGCGGCGCAATAAAAGCAGCCCATTGAAATGAATAGGCTGCCAATGCACCAGCTGAGCACATCACCAAAAAAATCGACCAAGTCACAAAATTCCTAATGTGACGTATTGCAAGACCCTGCCATGCAGTGTACTGCTAAGGCCATACATTATAAATTTTTTTGTTGTTCAACCAGCGAGTTGAACAGAATTTTTTTTTTAAAATGTGCGATTCATTGTGGATGAGGAATCCCTCCTGCAACGTAATTGTGTTCTTCTGGTGTTGAGATCAACTTCTGTAAAACCAGCCTGCCTATAGATGGATTGAAATTTGACCGGTCCCTCCTGAACTGGATGAGTTTCGATCCATCTATTGCACGCTTTAGTATGTTGGGGTGCCATGTGTGTGTGCTATCACAATGCAAAAGTAAACTCAACCTATTAAAGTGCCCTCAGGAGTGACTGGAATGATGTTTGCACATACTATATGGCTGAAAGTATTTGGACCCTCCAGTTTATTACGTTCAGGTGTACAAAAGCAAGCTCCATAAAGACAAATTGTAATGGGTTTGGTGTGCAAGAACTGATCAGTACCTGATTTCACAAATGGCACAGACTCTGTGGAAAGCATTCCCAGAATAGTGGCATGTGATATGGCCAACCCCATATTAACAGCCATAGTTTTGGTAAGGGATTATTATTATTATTATACAGGATTTATAAATCGCCAACAGTTTATGCAGCACTTTAGAACATAAAGGGGGACAGTACAATTACAATACAGTTCATAACAGAAGGAAAAGGAGGCCCTGCTCATGGAGCTTACAATCTAGAGGGAGGGGGGAGGAGGTACAAATGGTAATAGCTGCAGGGGATAATTTGATGGAGGTGACTAATGTACAGTTCTTAGATGGAGGTGGGGTAGAATTCCCTGAATAAATTTGTTTTTAAGGATTGCCTAAAGGCGGACAGGGTAGGAGCTAACCAAAACATACTGAGGTAGGGAGTTTCATAGGATGGGAGAAGCTCTGGAGAAGTCCTGGAGGTGAGCGTGGGAGGATATAACAAGGGAACTGGAGAGCAGGAGGTCTTGGGAGTGGAGAAGATGGTTTGGGCGATATCTGCAGATGAGGTTGGTGATGGAGCTGGGGGTGATGTTGTAGACAGGGATGTCCAACAAACTCATGCAGAGGTGATAATCAGGTGTTCAACAAACTTTTGTCTATGTGGTATACCTTTGGGAGATACTGGAGCCTCCTTCTGGGTGCCCCAAAACCCAGAATGGCTTGCAAATATCAATTTCAGTCAGAATTTTTAAATCACAGATTGCAAAAGCATGATATAAATGAGCAGCATAAAAGTTTCAGTTCTTATTATTTGTCGACGTCACTGTATTTGATTGTGGTCAGAGAATCAGAAAGCATTAAAGCCAAAGCATATGCATGAGCATGACAGCCAGGGAACAAACATTCTTAAAGAAGAGATCAGCAGTGACAGTCCTCCAACTAATGACAAAGACATACAAAGCCTGAACATTCAATTTCCAGGTGCATCAAAACAAAAAGGTGGCCAAAGTAGGAAAAACAAAGAAGAACCCATCTCCTGCCAGTATGTTCTGTGTGGAAACATTGGTCTCTGTGCAGAGGTCCTACAATCCCCTGCGTCCCCAGAGTCAGAGCTCACCAATCATCAGGAACATGGCCTTTGCTGAATGCAGAGCTCTAGGCTTGACTGAGCAGGAGGTAAGTTGGACCTCTGCAGAATGACCACTGCTTCCACATAGTGAGCAAAGATCCTTCTCTGCAGCATGCTGGCAGTGGACAGGCCTTTCTACTCAGGCTGTGGCTATCTTCTAAAGATAATAAACTGTGAAGCTTTGAATACTCTTTGTTTTTATGTTCCTGGAATGTATTTAGCTGATTTAGCCCCAGTTCACACTGATGCTGTGTGGCACATCGCATGTGATTCTCACAGGAACCACATCGCATTCCTGTGCAAATCACATGCGATTTCTATTCGCTGCAATTTGAGCCATACATTTTGTATGGCTTAAATTGCACCGCATCAAAATAGCGCAGGTCTCTTTTTTTTTGTCTGCACCAGAATCGGATCGCATGGGTATTCACACCCATGTGATCCAATTCTGCACATCGCACCTCATTTTGTGAAGCAATTTTGGGGTGTTGTTGTAACTTAAAATACACACTTGCAGCGGTTCGCATGAATGGGGTGCAATTATGATGCGGTTCTGAAATTGCACAGAAACTGGTGCAAATTCTGCACCGCATCAGTGTAAACAAGGGCTGAAACTGAAAGTTCAATTTTAGGGCCTCCCATGATAATTCAGTAGGTGCTTGCTGCTGCTCTGTCTCCTATCTTGACTACTGAACACCTCCATACTGGTGACACCCACCATTAGCTTCATCCATATGCTAAGCCCACCTAAATACCTCCCTCTTCCTTCCATCAGTAGTCAGTAAAGGAAATCCCACCACAAGCCACATTTCAACTTTCAGGTGTAGGAAAACAATTATTCTGAACTACATTTCTCCTTGAAGGAATATATGTATGGAAACACAATTTTGTTGAAAACATTTGTTGGTATGTGTAGCTGTAAACTCACTGGTGATCCTCAGGATGCGTTGGTAAGAGATGAAGGTCAGCAGAGGTTCTGGCAGTTCACGCAGAAAGGTCTTCAGGATTCCAGCAGGTATGTGCGGATCAGTATACTCATCAAAATTCACGGCCTTCCCTGCGAAGTCAAAAGAATACATTGATTGGTTATGCTCATTAATATTTAGCTGTTCAACATAGAAAGAAGCTGCTGAATAGTAATTGGATGTTATCAGCAAGTGAAGCATTAAACCAATTCAGAATCACACAGCAAGTCATTACTGTATAACTTCCCCGCTTATTGTGTTTTTTATGGACAGATATAGCAAGGGTGTGCATTTCAAAGAGAGGAAACTGTAATAAAACTGAATTTTTATTATTATTTTTTGCAGCATACATGCTTGATAGCAGTGAGGTGGATATAACTAGGGAACATTTTAGGTTTAGTTTTAAAGCCCATCCGAAGTCACAGAAACAGATATGTATTCAGACATTTTACTACACACCTTCACTCTCCTATTACAGCAGTTGTGCAGTGTCTAAATGTGCAGTCCAATAGGCACCAGAGATAGATCCAGTGCACTGTGTAATCAGCACTCAGTAACAGACCTGGTCAGATATACCCCATCACCTTCTCTGCAATACAAGTCTGTGTGAGGACAATTTTTCTGAAGGCTGTAGTTGATACTCAAGCAAGCTCAGAGCATAAGAGTGGTAAAGCAGTATTTTCATTGAGATAAAAAGTATTTTAAGGCATACCCCAGCAAACAAATTATTCTTATGTAATAAAATAAATGTTTTGCTTATACTTCACACTAATTAAGTATACAGTGATTATAATTTATTCACTTTTTATAATTATATTTCCCTCTGTGTTTGGTCATTGCATTAGATAATGCCATGCATCATGTCACTGCAGCACCATTTCAATTCAGTGGCTGTAAGAGTGCGTTGGATTACACAAATGGATTGTTTCCCTTCCCAGCAGTGACTCAGCTTGGCTCACCCTGCAACCCCTTCCCAGCAGTGATTCAGCAGATTGACTCATCTTGTTCCCCCCTTGCTAGCAGTGACTGAGGAGCTTGGCTCCCCCTGCTCCCTCTCCCAGCAGTAATTCAGCAGCTCAGCTCCCCCTGCATGAGTAATTCAGCAGCTCAGCTCACCCTGCTACCCCTCCCAGCAGTAATTCAGCAGCTCAGCTCCCCCTCCAGGAGTAATTCAGCAGCTCAGCTACCCCTGCTTCCCATCCCAGCAGTGATTCAGCAGCTCAGCTCCCACTCCAGGAGTAACTCAGCAGCTCAGCCCCCCCTGCTCCCCCTCCAGGAGCAACTCAGCAGCTCAGTCCCCCCTGCTCCCCCTCCAGGAGTAAATCAGCAGCTCAGCCCCCCCTGCTCCCCCTCCAGGAGTAACTCAGCCTTCCCTGCTCCCCCTCCAGGAGTAACTCAGCAGCTCAGACCCCCCTGCTCCCCCTCCAGGAGCAACTGAGCAGCTCAGCTCCCCCTACTACCCATCCCAGCAGTGATTCAGCAGCTCAGCTCACCCTGCTACCCCTCCCAGCAGTGACTCAGCAGCTTGGCTCACCCTGCTCCTGCACCCAGCAATGACTCAGCAACCTTCCAGCCTTCTAATGTCTAATGTAAATGGGAAGCAGGAGCTCTAGCAAGGGGAAGGGACAGAGAGCGCTTATCTACTGAGTTACTTCTGGGAAGGGGAAGCAGAAAACTTACCTGCTAAGAGATAACACACTCACTTCTTATCCAGAAGCCAGGGTGTCACAGAATTTGAAATGATGAAAAATCTCCACAAAGGGAGCAGAGGCAGTCACAAAAACATCTTGTGTCTGCATGCAGCGGTCTCAGATTTGATCTGTCAGATAAACAGCTATATAGTGCAACATAACTATCTCATATTGTATCCGCTCAAGTAAAACCTCACTATACTTGGATGTTGGTAAATTTAGCTGATCTTCAAATCTGAAATAAAGTCTGAAAATGAGGGTGCAAAGAAGTCTGTAAAACCCATGATGCACATCAGCAGCAGCAGGGGCATAAAATAAAATTGTTGATGGCCTTAATAATCTTGCTGCTTGTGACATTTCACCTGTCATTACAGAGAAGAATGAACTCCAGTCATGAGACTAAACAATTCATCCTTACAGCACCATTCGCTGTAGTGGCCACACAAGGTAACTTCACCCGAAGAAGCATATTTTAAATTGGATAGTAACCTGTTCCATCACAGTTCATAATCGCCAATATCTCTTCTCTATGAATCAACATTACCCCCCCCCCCTTCCTTCTCCTCCATTCAACAAACTGTAAATTCCTACAGCTGTGTCCCTAGCGGCCTCCATACATCTCCCGCTAACGTGACATCTACATTACAAATGGCTTTATGATTAACTAATTAAATGAGCGGTGGTAGCGGTGGTAAAATAGATTCATTATCGGCGAGAGGACTCGCTTCGGTGCTCCCGGAGTGCTCGGGGAAATACTGACCCAGATTATACAGCTTCTGGATGTCTTTGATGATGTGAACGGCGACTGATCTTCGAAAGAGACCTTCCGTGCGCAAACCTGTGAGACAAAATGAAATGTCTGAAGACTTGCTGACTGCAATAAATGGAAGCATCACTGTGTCACTAGGAATATTTGCATGCACTTTGTAATAGTGTCCCTCCAACAAAATACATTTGAGGCAAGCTGTATATTTTGTTAGCATGAAGTGCCAGCCAAAACTTTTTTTTAATGAAAGAAGAATTCCAGGTAAAAAAAAATCTAAAGCAAGAGTAAAAGTAAAAATAAAAAGGCAGCTTTTCGCAGCAATATCTACATTCAATCTAGTGCTGTCCCTGCAGTAAGTCTTTTCTGCCACTAGATGTCACCAATCTTCCTAGTTGAATGACCACCATCATCATTCAACTCACTTCCTGTAAGTTTAGACAGTCATGGACAAACCCTCAGGGGACTGCGTCATCATGATGCCTGGGTCTAGAGTACTATTGTGCTGAATGGCAGTCACATTTATACGTTTTTGTAATTTTATATACTGCTACACTGTTACCCAGATAAATTGCAAAGAAATGAATAGGTGTTGATGGGCACACTTTAATCTATTTACTTATCTGACATAGTAAGTTTGAACTTCCCAGCAACAGCCAAACATTTTCCAGCTTTAATTTTTTTTAAGCCTAGATTTAAAAAAAAATCATAATAAGAAAAAAATAAACCTTAGATAAGCTTGGTTTCTGCCTAAACAGCCTCAACTCGCTACACTTTCTCAACACATTACTTTTAGAAACGTACACATTAATGGAAATGAAAACCATCAGGAAAACATACAAACAAACCTGAAATAAAAAGAAGAAAATTGGAGACATTGTAATAATGTAACCGAACAAATGTGTACATTTTGCTCCCGTACAGAATAAACATAAACACTCAGGATCGTTAAAAAAGCAATCTGTATATTATGTACAAAAGGAGCTCGCTGTGTTTGTACAATTAAAATAAAAACCATTAAATCACAAGACAATTGTTCAGACTGAGAACTGAAATAACAACAACTAAGGCAGAACTCCAGGCAGATATGAAAAGACATAAAAGGAAAGAGATTTCTAAAAACACAACACCAAGGGCACGTTTACACTTCTGGGTTGTGGTAACATGCGTTGCTGCACTGCAGTGCCTTTTATTATGAATGCATGTAGTGTGTGTTAATGCATGCATCACTGCATTGCAGAAGTGTAAATGTGGCTTGGGGTGTCAGTTACTTTAAATGGCACCCCAACACACTACAGCAATGCACCTGTGTTGTGTTAGAAAAAAACAATCATATCCAATGTTCAACATGTCAGGATGTGTTGGCAGGCCCATCATTCTAATAGGTGTTTTTAATGCAAGGAACATTAACAGGTACTGCATGTGCTGCACTAATGTATTCTGCACTTAGCCATCTTTGGATTTCTGAATTCAACGGAGCACATTAAGGCCCCATGCAAACTTCTGCTCCTAAATTCATGTTTTTGTGGATTTTGGTGGATTTTTTTTCTGCCCCTGAACTCCCCTCTATGTTATCCTATGTGTCCATACACACATAGCCGTTTGCAGTTTAGTAGCAGGGGAGTTTAGAGGAAGTTCACAAAATTCCCTAAAATTGTGTTCAGGAGAGGGGATTTTGACTACACAAAATGCTGAAAGTTGCTAAACACGTGTAATTGTGCCTAAGAGTTAGGCACGTTTAGCGCTTCAGAGTTTATTCATTTCAATGGCTAGAATAAGCAGCCGGCTGCAGAGGGCAGCCAGCAGATCAGCAGGAGGGGGGTCTGGGCTCCCGGGGGAATCAGATGCCGGCAGAAAAAGCAGAGGGATCAGTGCGGCGGGGGGCAATTACAGAACGATGCCCCATGTCTGTGTCTTTCCCTGCAGCAGTTGAAGGCCATCTGAAGGGAGAGAAACTGGCTTTCAGCTGCTGCAGAGAGCTGCACAGGGCATCCTTCTGTAATTGTCCCCCACCCCCACCCCGTCACACCGATTCCCCGTGATGTTTGGCATCCCCTTGTGCCTGGGGCCCCTACAGGAGGACCGGTGGTACCCCCTTATCTGCGGCCCTGGTCCCTAAATGTATTTAGTGTCTGGATAATGAGACAAGGGGCAAAGTTACATGCTCCATACCCAAATATGCAGGGTGCTAAGAGGAAGGGAAGATAAAGGAGATCATTAGGGGGTTGGGGGAAGTCTTTTGCAAACACACTTTCTCTACGCTCTGCATGTCTCTTTGCCTCTTTAAAGAGATCCTATCTCCAGACCACCCACTTTAACAAATATCTTCCCATGAGATTATATGTGTACCATTAACAGATTATTAAAACCTCACTGTCCCTCCACTTTACCAGCTTCAACACCGCACAACACAGCATGCTTAGATTTTTGTCTCCTCAAAAATTTCAAAATAAGACATCAAATTCTTACTACACCATATGTTTCTTCCACATCACTTCCTGACCCACGTAGTGTTACTGCTTCGTCTCTCTCCCATTTCTCTTCACTTGACTCTGCATCTCTAATTAAACTGGTGATAATATAAAATCTTCCATCTGTATACTTGATCCTATTCCCATCCATTTATTTAAATCCTGTTTTAGTTCCCAATACCCCATTATTCTCAATATCATAAATTACTCCCTTAGCACTGGTTTGGAACCAACAATCCTCAAAACTGCTGCCATCACCCCAGTACCTAAAAAACCCAACATAGCTCTGGAAAACAACTTTCGCCCAATATCTAATTTATCCTTCCTTGCCAGGATCCTTGAGCACCTGACTTTAAATAACCTATTTGAACCCCTCCAATCTGGTTTTTGACAACTGCACAGCACAGAAACCGCTTTGGTAAAAGTCACTAAAGACCTTCTGATTCAGCTCACTAACTATTCTTATTCAACTTGATTTTAGTTCTACCTTTAATACAGTAAACCACAATATTTTACTCTCTTGCCTTGAACCCATATTTGGAGTCTCAGAATTGGCTCTGAAATGGATTAAGTGATATCTTACTGATTGCTGTCACTTTGTTTCTCTTGGTGGATTCCAGTCTGATGTTGGTCCAGTCAAGTACAGTGTTCCTCAGGGTCCCTTACCTTTCAGCATTTACATGTTTCCACTTGGTCAACTGCTTAGATCACACGGGCTCAATTATCGCTTCTATGCTGATGACACTCAGATACACATCCACACTAAACCTGATTCTACTTTGGGTGCTTCTCTCCTAACAGTATTTGTGATCTAAAAACTTTGATGGCACACAATTTCCTTCAATTAAACTATGACAAGACTGAAGTCATGCCTTATTCGCACCCCCCATCAATTTTAAAATACCAGTTCTGGTAGCCTATCGAAGGCCCTATACTTGAACTTCAGTCTAAATGGAAAAATCTATGGGTGATATTTGATGCTAGTTTAACCTTTGATCCACATGTACAAAATGTTGTCAGAACATTTTTTTCCACTTGAGAAACATTGCTTGGATGCGTCCTATGGTATCATACACTGTAGCTGAAAAGCTGATCCATACATTTGTGTTCTCCCAACTTGACTATTGCAATGCTGTACTCACTGGTTTAACTAAATCCATAATTAATTGACTTCAATAAGTACAAAGTTCTGCAGCCAGAAACCTGAGTAAGTTTGGTACAGGTGATCATATTACCCCTATCCTGGAGTCCTTGCACTGGCTACACATCAGATTTCGCATAGACTTTAGGATCCTCCTGCTCACCTATAAGGCTCTTCATGGCTTGGAACCCCATTTACTTCCTGAACTTTTCTCAACTTACTCCCCCTCATCGTAACCTCCGCTCCTCAAATTCTGGTCTTCTGTGTGTACCCCCTACACACCTACACTCGATGGGAAACAGAGCCTTCTCTATGCTCCAAAACTCTGGAATTTTCTTTCAAAAAACATCAGAGTCAGCTTCTCTAGACTCATTCAAATCAAATCTACAAATTTTTTTTCTTTAGACGAGCTTTCATGCAGATGACCCTTTTGTCCTTTATTTTATCCTGTGTATTTCTTGTGTTTTATTTGTAAAGTGCTTTGAGAAGCTACATTTAAAAGGAGCTATATAAAGTTTATTGTTATTTATTATTATATTTTAGGTATGATATTTACCTGTAAAAACCTCCTTGTGTAGATATTCAAGAGTTCTGAGAGTACTGTTGGGTGGCGCCATCTTGGATGTGATGTCAGCAGCCCCTGCAGACTCAGGAGATGTCACGATAGTATTCCCCTTAACTCCTACGCTGGTAGCTACATAAAAGTTTATGTAGGTAGATGAATGGAGGGCAGAGGAGCTGAGCCAGAACATAGAGTAATTACACATTTCCAGGAGAGGAGAAGGCTATGACGTGTAAGAAAGGAGGGGGCTGTGCAAGATAATTGACTCTTCTTGGAGTACTCCAATTTTTCCAATGATAAACACTGCAAGTAAAAAATACTTGATTCGTCTGTGCTTTTTTTTTTTTTGCAATGCATTTATTTAAGTAGGTGAAATGGTCTTTTTAAAGTTCAATTCTGTCTCTTAGTTTTGGGTAATGCAAGGAAGGGTTAGAGGCATGGTTGAACTTTTAGAAACATAACTTAGAAAAGTGACAGCAGAAAAAGACCGAGTGGTCCATCGAGCCTGCCCATTTTTTTTTTTTTGTTTTTTGTTCTTTTACTGCTGTCTGTTACTATATTGGGGATATTTTGAGCTAAAGTGAATGTTTTTGCCCTGACAAAAGTGTTTGTGTCCTTTGAAATCAGCAAAATTGGTCATTTCAATCCCAGTGACCAGGAGAAATAGAGAGGGTGAAACTCCCTAAAGGAGATACATACAGCAATAAAAACCTGACAGAGGTACTATCCCTTCTCTACTCAAAACAGAAACAACAACAACAAAAAAAGGTTTGGGTCTAGATACACTTTACTTTTTGTCCCAGTTCTTCCCAAATACGCTTGACCTGTGTAGAAAATATTGGTAGAACAAACATTTCATAATAATAATATTACAAGGAATGGCTCAAACACTG